GTTATTAAGTTGTATTTCAGGATGATATAAAATCCTATATTGATTCCGATATAATAGCAGACATTAAAATAAAAGCAACGAGCACATTTCAACAGATAACTTGCACTTTGGCAGTTATGAATGGAGCACGAATGGAGACGAAAGTGGCCGTGAATGACGAACTGGTCAGTGAACAAAGCAGTCTCAAAAATAATCTCGTGCAATATCGACACCTGCTATCGCATGAAATAACGGAACGCCATTCATTTAGGGAGGTGCTGTCCTTTCTGGGCACTGCCTTGCGCAATCATGGTTTGGATCCGATTGTCCGTCAACCTTATTCATTCACCGCTTGGCTCGACGTACCCTTCACTTAAATCGGGCTTCAATTTAATAAATAGCCGCTTCATGCTTCATCGAAATTGAAGTTCCCGCAAAAGAGCATTCTCAGAAAAAAAATAAAAAGATATTCTAATACACCATTCCATATTATTCCTATAGAATGCATGTCGAATCACGATTTTAAATACTTAATGATGGTAAATGAAAATTTCAAGAACCAAAAGTTTTGACTACCTCGTGTTAACACAAAATCAAGGGAACCAAATTGTAGGCACATTTTTATGAAATCCAATGAATTTGCTTCAACCATACATGAAGCCGTGCAACCGCAGGGTAAAGAGATAAAAAGAGATAAAAAATCGTGGGACGCCGGAAAAGCTACAAAATTCACGAGAGGACACAGTATTTGTCCATTAAAACGTACGCGCGGCCTAAAGTTTAATTACGAAACGGGAACTGGGTTAATGACTCGCGATTCAGAAAGGTTTTAGGTCCGGTAATCCACGCATTGGGCCATTCTTTCGCTGTCAGACTCGAAACGTCCCGAGAACATTTGTTCGCTTTAACGATCGACAACGGGGACAATGCAGAAATTATCCACCAGCGCGAATTGAAATTTACTGATTCGCCGCGAAAACTGCGAACTTACTTACTAATCCACGAAATTGATACGAATGGAAACGCGGCAAGCGCGACGAATAACTTCGCGGAACTATGGCAACGGCGCCGTTATATTTTCACCGTTTCCATTATTTATATCGGTTGAATTCACCCGGTGAGTTAAAACTTCCGGCTATTTAGCCGTCCGCTGAATTTAACGGAGACAACACGCGTCTCCATTTAAACTTTATGATGAATGCTGCCCTGATAATTCATTTTGAGAGCATAAGATTTAGCTTTCGTATTTTATGAGATCATATTAATCCACTTTGTTCAGCTTTAGAATATTTACGTACCCGGTTAATTTATGTTTATCTTGCACTCGGAACTAATTCAATTTAAGATTATCCTACATTTTGGAGCTTACGGTGAAGTGTGGACTAACCTGTGGGTGTGCATGGTGTTCTTACCGCCTCGACGAGGTCTTCGCGACTTCCGGGCGGTGCTTCCAGCATCGTGCTGCTGCCGGAAAATCTCTTCACACATAGCAGGCTCAGCGCTGAAACAAAAAATTTAAATGTAAATACAATGAGGTATTAAAAAAACCAACAATTTAATTCAAGTCTTGTCTTTTAATCACCTTTTCACATCCCTTAATTTCATGTTCACATCTTACCAACAAATTAAACATTCTTGTCTTTATAGCAATTACGAAACTTTTCCCTTTACCTAATAATCTGATTTTCAGAATAATCTGCTAGGTCTGGAAGATAATTTATTGAAGAAACTTGGATAAGCCCAGGAAAGAGAATGTTTGATTAAATGCTTCTTACAACCGACATTTCATTAAGTTCACTTTAAGGATTTCAGATAATATATATTTCATTATACTCCCAATTCGGGACTTAACTTCTCAAGAATTCATTAGATTCTGCTAACATAATCTAGTGGTTCTTTTATAACTAAGATTCCACACGATGTCTGAGCTAGTATTAACCTATTCTACTTGGAACTCAATTATTCATTCTTTCGCCTTCAGTTATTGATTTTCACATCTGTTATTGCTAACAGAAATAGAGAGATTAAAACAGAAACATATATACAGGATGGAACACGAAGCGTGAAAGTAAAATTAAAATCAGTCCTATCTAAATAGTCTAGTAGAGTGACTTCCTTAGAGAGAATTTCTCTAATTGTTTCTTTCTAACAAAAACAGAAGAAACATGAACGAAGTCCAAGGTGCGTAGTTGCTGTTGGAACATGTCGCGCGCATTATTCTTTTTCGCGCAATTTACTGTCGGGGGAAAGCAAAAGGAGAAGACTCGGCGCCACAAGGTCTCGTCAACGTGTTGTCCTCGCAAGACTCTCGCGTGCACGACGTTTTAATTAAATTTTCACAACCACAACGCCACGACCTAAAGGAATGTTTCGTTGCGCTTGTAATACGTGAATGTCATGACACGCATACTTTGAAGTCACACTGTGCATGCGATTCTGTGTACAAATAGAAGGGCTCAGCTAGTATTAGAAACATTGTATGAGCCGGTTAATACCCTTTCACCTTTGTGCCTGAGTAGAAATCGGGAAAAGGCATCATGTCCAGGAAATCGTCTCGCGTGATTAATTTAAAGACAGGCTTAAAAGGACACCGTTTCGTTCCATCAGAGAAATTATTTGTAGGTGAAAACTTTATGGACAGACATTTCTTAATTAATTATTGTTCATAGTGATATTAAAAGCTATTAAACTCGAATAACTAGTAATAAACTAGTCATCTTCTAAAAACCTTAATTTTGTTAATTCCATTCTGTGTTTCAAGCTGTTATTTTAACATTGATAAAATTGGCTTTAATTTTGCTTTCTTTTCTTTACGAGCTTATTCCTTTTCACGTTAAAAAAATTCTACACTCGAAGGCGATCGAAACTTTTCTACGATTTCGCTGCGCGTCCCAGCTTCCTGCGGTTCAATTTTCGTCCTTTGACGATAACCGAAAGCAGGAGAACATCGAGAATCGCGGCACAGCCACCGTACTACCACACTTTTTGTCCCCTCCCAATGGCCTTTTTCAATGGTCCTTTCGTTCTTTCGACTCCTTCTCGATTCCTTCTGCCCCGCCACGCTGCCGTCACCATCGATCCTTTTGTGGCTGCCAGATCGAGCAGACCGCATTTTCCAAGCGAAACTCTAATCTTCCGCAAGCGTTCACTCTGTCGCCTCTCTCTCTCTCACACCCCTTCCCACCCTATTACTCTCTCTTTCTGTGTAACCGAGTTTGCGGATACTTTGAAAGCAAATTCGTGGGACCGCAATTCCAGATAAAATTGCGCCTTTCAGTATGGCGACTCACGGAAGAATTCCGAATTGTATTCCAGAGAGCCGCGTGCATTGTCGCTGCCGCACACGGCTTCTCCGCTTTTTCCTGTTGCCTGGAATCCTACGAAATTGAATCACAAAGGGGAGAGAAATCCTTTCCTTCCTTCGATCATTTCCGAACTTCTCCTCTCCGGCACTGTCAATCTTGCTTTTCACTTCTGTTTATTCCCTCTTCCAATATCTCTTACAAATAAAATTTATCTCACCACTACAGAAAGTATTCCTTTCCAATTTTAAAACATTTGTGGTTGAAAGGATCGGAAACATCCATTAAAACGGAAATTCTCAAATAAGAATGCGTTCTATTTTAACTGCTGAAAAAGATTTTTATACTGCAAAATAAATGATCGTTAGAACATTATTCTTTGCGGTCTCTAAGATTTTTATTTCTCATTTGTCATGCTTCTCCGTAAATATAGTGAGACAAAACGTATAGCACACACGCGACCGATTGGGACGGGGAAATTCCAGCCTCGACGGAACGGAGGTTGGAAGCAAGGGAATTTTATTTATCCGAATGCCGTAGTCGTTTATCTCCAGTCTCCCGAGCTTCCACGACCGATAGCCCCTGGCCAATGTCTCGTCCCAGAATCCAGTTTTTTTAGCGACTACTCTGTTTAATGTCTTGTCTAAGATATATTTTCTAGTTGCTTCTCGTTACTTTTATATTAGACCGTATTTCTGAATAATTCAATTGCAGAGACAGTAGTACATAATCGTGATTAAAAAATAATCTATGTTAGATTTGACGATTTTATTAGATTCGATCCTCGCATCAAAGAAAACTTGATACTGATTATTAACGAAAAAGTATATGTCTAGTATAATCACGCGTCGAGGTATTGGTCGTTTGATTTGATAATTTAAAGAAAAACTCACCCCGCTTCAATTCCCGCCACGTGTTCGTGATTTCGTCGAGTCTGCCTTGCCCGTTTGGTGTTCACCCATATATTCCTCTCATATCGTACTGACGACCGACGTTCTACAAACCTGGAGCACAGTAGAACAGCGTGGTTAAGTGATTTACTCTATGTTCCTGTTCTCGTTGCTTTCCCATTATCGCAACTGCGCAATGTATTACATGCTCCAGTTACAGTGACGTTGCGATATATATTGTGATTACATTACCAAACAATTAAATGTAATGAGACAAACGTTGCATAGGAGAATATATTATTAGTGTAGTAATAACAATTTACTGAATCTTTCCTATTCTTTTGTCATCAACAAGTTCTCTTTTCTACTTTTTTTATGGCTATTTCTATACACATCTTGACCCATTCCTCTCATTCTCTTCCAAATCTCAAGTACTTGGAGTAGCTACTTCTATTCTTTTCCGCCACTATCTCTTCCTACCCTTTTTCTACTCCCCAAAACCCAGGTACATATCTCCTTTTGTTCTACTTTCAAATCTCATCCAAGTATCTACCCTCTATTCTATTATTCCCCATTAAAATTATGTTTTACATTCCGTAATTTCCGTTTTTCCTCTCTTTAGAAGTAATCAGGTAACAATCTTTAAATGTGCTTGTAGTATTATTTTTAATCTTTTCATCACAGTACAATTCGTTTCTCTCTCTTTTTTTTATAAAATAACTGTACCGACTACTGAGTTAGGGCGAAGCACAGATGCGACAAATACGAAGGCAGTCCCACAAGCTGCAGGGTGGGTGCACGTGCATGTGTACACGTGGCGGGACGTATGCACCGCAGACCACGCGAGAGCAAATAAGCGAGGAGTGTACGCGCGCGGATTATGCAAAATGACGACTACAAACTGGAACCGTGAGTTTTATCTCGTGCCCTGTTAAACTACGCTTTATCGCTTTAATTTGCTTAATACGCCGGCACTTCAATCAATCGCAGGCCCCAACTTTTTCCTGGGATTTTTCACGAAAATACGATATTTGCGCCGCTTGTTGTTCCCCCTTGATTTTTCACAAACGCTGAGGACACTCAATTTCATTGTCGAAATCCCGGTAAACAAACTGTTAATTATTATATTTTCAAGTACAGGTGTTTTTATTTATTTCACTGAATGTTTTGTATTTGACGTGGGAAAAAGGTATACATTTAATACAACGTATATTTAGCCTCCAGGAATTTTTTATTTAAGCGTTGTTATGAATATTTCACACCTTATTAAATTCAAGAAGCTTTCCGAGGATATGCATTCAAGAACCCTGCTTTAAATTGAAGTTGTTTGCCAATTGCGTGATAAAGAATTATTCATTTTTTATGGCTATTGCTACGAACCAAGAAGTTTTTTATTCTGAATTACATACGTGGTATAAAATTAATTATTGAATAAAATATCATTTTCGCGATTGAATCAGACAAACACAATTTATTCAAAGGTGGTTTAATATCTACACTTTGACAAAAAAAAAAGAAATACTGAATTTTCTTTCTCGAAATTATTTGTATAACATTTATGAAACTTTCAACTGTATAGGTGATATAAAGTTTGATGTGAATAATTAATAGGATAATTTTGCTTGAATATGTTCTACACTTTCTACTTGGTAAGGAGAGACAGGATTGTAGGTGCTATAGATCTTGTCAGATAATAGTTCAGCTATCCGAACATCCGCTAATTTCGAGTACATAGTAACTCGCGAGGAACAGCCGGCGAAATCCTGACAGGAGTTTCGATTGTCGCTCGAGTGGCTACTGCACCGGTCGCTGCAGTCACAGTCGGTGGCGCCAGCGGAGAACTGATAATTGGTGTCCAAAAACTGTTTTCAAGCCGGAAACCAATCGTTGTCCCCCTTTGGCGAAACTTTTGCAGTCGCCGTGCGCAGAGTTTCATCGCTCGCGGGCTGTCCAAGTCGTCAGCAGTTCGATGAACCGATCGCGAAAACCGTGCCACCCGGCTTACCAGAGAAAGAAAAATTGTGGCTGGCAAAGCGCGAAAACTGTACGCACTGTGGAACACATAAAAGCGTCCATCGTATTTCTGGCCGGACCAAAGTGGAACCGCGCCACTTTTCCAATATCACCAGAGGAATGTTTTTGTCTCTGGTCGAACGTAGAAATACAGTTCTGAAAGTTAGTTGCTATAAAAATGGTAAAAAACTATCCTCAACTTTGGGAACAATTTTTAAAACCAATGAAAATAAGCTTGATTTAAGAAAGTAGAATTTCAAGTAATTTTAGTTTGTGATTTGAATAATTGAATAAAACAGCCAAATAAAGTATTCATATAGGCATTGTAATATTGTTGTAAAAGAGAAACAATTCATGCATAAGTGCATTGCACCAATCCTTATTCGCGTATTATCCAAGCGTTAAGATTCGTGCCTTTGAACGCTACCCCGACCGCGTACAGTGTATACCCTACACTTCGTTCACGAGCTAGCTCCCAGGAGTCGTATAGTGGGTGACTAGTAATTAGCTAGAGGAGTGACACTATCTCCATTATCACTCCCAGGATACAACGAACACGCGATATCTGGCCTTAGCCGGTCGTCGTATATTCGTTTCCTATCCTTTGGTGTGTGCAAATAATTTTCATTTCACAGATTAATCACAGTAATTCCGTTTCAGCAAATAATTAACTGCAAGAGATGAGCGAATCACTCTTCCAACGAACTTTCCTTCTATCTCTATACGTTTCAAAACTTTACAAGTTAAATTAAAGCGAAGTACTCATTGAGCGCGTCTCATTATTTCTTTCCTCGTTTCTCATTATTATTCTTTTCTACGTTGAAAAATCTAACTACAAAGGAGGTAGAGATACGAGAACGAATGGGAACCTCGCGGTTGAACGGGAATCATTTTTCCAATGCAACCACCCTCTTCCTATATTTTTCTTTATTTTTGCCAACCACCATTTTTCTCCATTCTAACGTTGCCATTATCCTCCTTTGGTACGCGTGCAGGTACGTATTTATACATATACTTACAGCCTCCGTCTCGTCGTTCCTTTCGGATGCACGCGCGCATCCGGTTCTTCCGTTTTTCATTCCCCGCTTGTCTCTTCTCATTCCCCATCGCCGCGCGTTTATCCGGATGCTTTTCAACTAGGTACACACATGGAAGACGTCTTTTCCGCGGGGAAAAAGAACGAGCTTATAACCCGGCATGAAGACGAGAATATAAAGCAGATAGTGTACCTCTGCTGGAACGATCTCATAACCTTCTTCCAGCGTTACGCTCTACTCATTTTTCTCTTCTCGTTCCGCCGCTTTTTCTTCCACCCCGGCCTCTTACTTTGACCACGGGTTCGGGGTGCGCGTTTCGGGTTGCCAGCCGGACAAGCCGGCAATTTTCATGGCCCCGCGAAAGTTTGCGGAACGGCCTCCGGATATCCGGACACAAACGAAATTTCGTGGAAAGAAGAGCCGACTACTAACTAACTACAGTTTACGGAAAAACCGGTGTATTAAAGTTTACCCGGGGAACTACGTCCTAATGGGAGACAGGAATGCGGTTAATTCATCGCAACCTGAATCATATATTGAACGACTAATTGCTAAATTAATTAGCATGATTGTGATTAATTAAACGGTTACTCTCCTCAATAACTGCTGAACATTAATCACCAGGTTCGAACGTTTCAACTGCTCTAATTAACGCCAATCAATGGCTGCGTTAAAAGTTAATACGACTTCCGATTCCTTTGAGAATTTTTACTTAATTAAAGTTGAGATGCTCGAACAAGGATCCAAAGCGTTTGGAAGATTCCTTGTTTCCTTCTACGCTTATTTTATATCTACGTCGATTTTAATGAAGTAAGTTCGTCTTTTTAAGAGCTCTACCTAGCACCATACTAAATTTCATCGAAATTGTTAACTCCACTATCGATAGAACTCCCTTAAGTTAACTTGTAATAGAAAACGAGGTAGAATTACGTGTATACGTGTATTATACACCACTATATGTACTATACAACGCCAAGTCATTGTCCTTATATCGCGTTCCTTAGTGATGGCATCTTTACGGCAAACGGATGCTGTAAACTTCGCCTAAGACGTCAGTCGTAATTTAGAGAACAGATTGCCTCGTGCTTCCGACTCGACACGCCGTCATTGTGATTAAAATGCGAAACGCGTTAATTATCTTTCCTAATATTTACCCTTCGATCATTCCACGCGTCATGATCTGCGATACAAATGCAGGGAAAGTTGTAATTAAGCCGAAATGAATAAATTATTTCATAAGAACCTTATTCAAAGTACGTACGAGTTTCGATCAAGTTGCGACATTGTGAATTTCAATAAAGGTCAGACAGGGTTGACTGCAGTTTGCCAAAGTTTTTAATTTCACGTTTTACAAAAGGAACAGAGCCTATTGATTTTTATGATCTTCCGACTATCATTCTCAAGTTCATTGTAAAATTTCTTACGGATCTATAGATCACGCGGCATCGATCGCACAACAGCTGACCCAATTACCAGCCGCGTCGAGCCGCGAAATGGCTTTGTATTATTTATGCGAAGCTGAAACCGCTTCCCATGTGACATTTATACTCTTCCCGGGTCGCGAAACGGAACATTAGATAACGTGCTGTACACGCGAAATGCCTGGTGCAATTAAAGTGCATTACGACTCGACTGCGTCTCGCCTAGCGAACTTCGCTTCGTTCGCCAACAATAACGACGAAATGGATGGTGCATTAACACATTATTTTCGCTTATTCATTCCACATCAAGTGACTTAGCCTCGATGACTGAGCGTAAATTTCACTTATTCGATAAAATTCGGTCCCGCAGGTTTCCTTACATTAGATTTCTTTCTAAAACGCATGATTTTTATTCGCACGGTGCCACTGTGTTAACTTAACGTTAACTCCCAAATGTCCGCAAATATTTGGTCAAACAAATTTTTTTTAAACTGTCGAGTCAAAAACAAATAGTGGCGGAGTATTACATGTGTATGTATAAGTGAACGTACACAGCCCTTGACTGTACCGTTTTATGGGAGAAACGCTAGGGTGTACAAATATTTGTTCACAATTTGATTTACATTCTTTTCTTAAAGGTAGT